CAAGGTGTTAGGGGTTGTGATATAGAGGTCACCGAGCATAGGCTTCCTTTTCCTTTTGTTGTCATGCCCATGAAGGGTTTTGATGTTATTTTGGGTATGGATTGGCTATCGTCATATCGGGCTGTTATTGATTGCTACCGCCAGAGGGTCACAGTTTGTACCTTGAGCGGGGGAGTGTTTCCATTTCTTGGGGGATCGGGTTGGTAGTGTGTTGCCACCGATGTATGATCCGCGAGGGCAGAGTGAACTTAGTGGTCTACTTGCTAGCTTTTTGAGTGGTGAGTGTGATGAGACCCTGATTGTATTGCCGATGGTGGTTTGTGAGTATTCGGATGTTTTTCCCGAGGATCTCGTTAGTTTACCACCTCACCGAGAGATAGAGTTCTCTATTGATTTAGTGCCCGGCACAGCGCCGATTTCTATGGCGCCTTATCGTTTTGCCCCAACCGAGTTGAGTGAGTTGAAGATTCAGCTCCAGGAATTTCTAGATAAGGGTTTTGTTTGCCCTAGTGCTTCGTCGTGGGGAGCACCGGCCCTCTTTGCTAAAAAGAAAGATGGTGCCTTGAGATTGTGTATAGACTACCGAAAGTTGAATCGGGCTACGGTCAAGAATAAGTACCCTATGCCCCGTATAGATGATCTGTTTGACCAGTTGAAGGGTTCCCATTGTTTCTCTAAAATAGACTTGAGATCGGGTTACACCAGTTGAGGGTCAGGGAGGAGGATATTCCTAAGACGGCATTCTGTACACGGTATGGCCACTATGAGTTTCTGGTGATGCCATTCGGGCTTACCAATGCACCGGCAGTCTTTATGGACTTGATGAACCGGATCTTCCGGGAATTCTTGGATCGATTTGTAGTCGTTTTCGTGGACGACATTCTTCTCTATTCGCCTTCTGAGAAGGAGCACGAGGAACACTTGAGAGTGGTGCTTGAGTTGCTTAGAGCCCATAAGCTATATGCCAAGTTTGGGAAGTGTGAGTTCTGGCTAGGAGAGGTCAAATTCTTAGGCCATGTGGTATCCGGGGAAGGGGTGTCTGTTGTTACATCCAAGGTAGAGGCAGTGCAAGATTGGAGACAGCCTAAGAGTGTGTTTGAGATCCGCAGTTTTCTGGGATTAGCTGGGAATTACCGTCGGTTTGTGAAAGATTTCTCTAGGCTAGCTTCGCCGTTGACTAGATTGACGCGAAAATGGGTCAAATTTGTGTGGAGTGAGACTTGCGAAAAGTCGTTCCAAGAGTTGAAGGTTAGATTGACCACCGCTCCGGTCTTGATTATTCCGGAGAAAGGGTTGGGTTATGTAGTTTATTGTGATGCCTCACGAGAGGGTTTGGGTTGTGTGTTGATGCAAGAGGGAAAAGTGGTAGCTTATGGTTCACGTCAGTTGAAAATATATAAGAAGAATTACCCTACACATGACTTAGAGTTAGCAGCAATGATCTTTGCCTTGAAGATTTGGAGGCACTACCTTTATGGTGAGAGGTTCGAGGTGTTCTCGGACCACAAAAGTTTGAAGTATCTGTTTACACAGAGAGACTTGAATTTGAGGCAGAGGAGATAGATGGAGTTCATTGAGGACTATGATTTTGAGTTGCACTATCACTTGGGAAAGGCCAATGTTATGGCTGATACCCTTAGTAGGAAATCCATTAGTGATGTAGCTTGTATAGCCATCCGGGAATGGGAGATGTTGGGTGCACTTGGCGAGTTTGATTTGCTCCTGAGTGAATCAGCTGAGGTTGCGGCCTTGTTTTCTGTTGTTGCGCAGCCTACACTTGTGACCCGAGTGTTAGAGGCACAGGGAGGTGACCTTGAGGTAGAATCCCTCCGAGAGAAGATCTCAAATGGAAAGGTTGAGAAGGGTTTGACGGTGTATCCCGACCTGAGTGTGAGATACCGAGACCGTTTGTTTGTGCCGAAGACTTGCCGAGAGGAAGTACTCTGAGAGTTCTATCATTCACGTCTTGCGGTGTATCCCAGAGGCACTAAGATGTATCGGGATTTGGGTCGCCAGTTTTGGTGGCGGGGTATAAAGAGAAATGTGGTTGTTTTCGTGTCTAAGTGCCTTACTTGTCAACAAGTGAAGACCGAACATCAGAGGCTAGCGGGTTTGTTGCAACCCTTGTTTATAGCCGAGTGAAAGTGGGAGCATGTCACGATGGATTTTGTTATGGGCCTTCCGAGGACTCAATGGGGTAGTGATGCCATTTGGGTGGTAGTTGACCGGTTGACTAAGTCGACACACTTTATACCTATGCGTGTGTGTGACTCGGTAGATTATCTTGTCGACTTTTATATTAGGGACATAGTGAGGTTGCACGAGGTCCCTGTAACGATTGTTTCGGATAAAAATCCACGTTTTACTACTCGGTTGTGGCAGAGCCTGCAGAGTGCATTGGGCATGAGATTGACCTTTAGCATTATGTATTATCCTCAAACTGACGGGTAGTTCAAGCGTACCATTCAGATCCTTGAGGATATGCTTTGGGGTTGTGTCCTCGATTTTAAGGGGTCGTAGAAGAGGCATTTACCCTTAGTGGAGTTTGTCTATAATAATAGTTTGCAATTGAGCATTGGCATGGCACCGTTTGAGGCCTTGTATGGCCAACCATGTAGATCACTTGTATGTTGGGCTGAGGTGGGTGATGCACCTATGTTGGGTCCAGAGTTAGTCTGGGAGACAACAGAGAAAGTTTCTCTTATCCGTAAGAGGTTGGTTATGGCTCAGAATCGCCAGAAAAATTATGTTGACTGTAGGAGGAGACCTTTGTCTTTTGAGGCGGGAGACCATGTATTCTTGAAGATATCACCTATGAGGGGTTTGATGAGGTTTGGAAAGAGTAAGAAGTTGTCCCCTCGATTTATTAGACCTTTTGAGATCCTTGAGCGGATCGGAGAGGTAGCTTATCGTTTGGCCTTGCCACCATAACTTTTTGGGGTTCATGATGTGTTCCATATTAGAATGCTTTGGAAGTATGAGCTGGATCCATCGCATGTGTTAGGTTGGACCGACTTAGAGGTAGATGGGGATGCCTCGTATGAGGAGAGATCGGTGAGAGTCTTGGATACCCAGAACCAAGTTTTGTGAGGCAAGATGATTCCTTTGGTTAAGGTATTGTGGAAACATCATGGGATTGACGAAGCAACTTGGGAGCGTGAGTTGGAAGTCCATGAAAAGTATCCGGACTTGTTTGTTTATGTTTGAATATGTATTGAACTTTATTATGTCAATGAAATATGAGAATATTGTACATATCATTTATGTTTTGAGAGCATGGACTCAGTACAAACATTGTATATGTTTTGAGAATATAGAAATATTGTGTATGTTGTGAAGAACACGAGTTAATTATGAACATTGTAAATGTCTTGGGAAATTATAAACTGCACTTTTAATTTTGGGAACTTGTGTATCGAGTGAATGAGAATGGATGACCAAAGCATGGGTCATGGTGTTGAACTTGTTAGATTATCATTGTTGTAAATGGTTTAATAAAGATTTTGAACTTGATTTGTAATTTCGGAGATGAAATTCTTTAAAGGGGGGAGATTAGAGCAATTCCTATTTTGACCCGACTTTTGTTGTATTCCGGACTCAAGTTTCATGGTTTAATGTTGTTGTCGATCTCTTATTCTCCTTGTTTTCCCTTGAGTTTGTCTTTTAGGTTGTTGTGGTTGTATTTGGGACAGGTTAGTAGTTTCAAAACTTTTTTTGCCCAGGATTTTGTTCCTCCGCTCAAGTGACACTTCTTGTGCTCGAGCGGGATTTGCAAACTCTCAGTACTTTTGTAGGTTTGCAAAACTACTAGGCCAGTATATTCTACGCTCGAACAGTTCTTTATGCGCTCAAGTGTCCTTTTCTTGTGCTTGAGTATTGGTCTATTGTCTGCAAAACTACTAGATGTGTGTATTCTACACTCGAGCGGCGCTTCTTGCATTCGAGCGATGATGGTCTTCTTTATTCTGTCTTGGAACTTGAGCATCACTTTTTGCACTCAAGAAGAACAACTTATTATGTCTAACACTCGAGCGTCACTTCTTATGCTCGAGCAGACTGTGTGTATATCAGATCGCAAAAGTGACTTTTTACATCACTTTTCATATTTCTTTTTCCTAAAAACTCTAAATCAGGACCTTCTCTCTCTAAAACACACACACTCTCTCTCCCTCTCTCTACATTTTCACCTAGTTCTAATGATCTCTTTACCCACTTGCCTTTGTTAAAAAGAGTGAGCATCTTAAGATCTCCATTTTTATCCGAATAAAGTTGGGTTTGAGCATCTTTGAAGTTTCATCTTTGCCATGCTCGCTATCACTCTTTGAGGTAGGGATTTTCTACACTTTTATATAGTTTTTAACTTATTTATTTGTTGTTGTGTAACTCTGGTACGATTTGGGAGTATTTTGGACAAACGTAGGGTTTGGAATTTAAAATCAAAATAAGGGTTTCTAAGTGAATGTGATATAAATGGTTATGGGATTTGAAAATGAGGTTATATCGGAACAAAATTGTTGATTTTGGTATTTGAGTTGATATTTGAGAAAGAGAGAAGTTTGCCTTAAAATGTTTCATATACTTATTTTGTATAAATGAATGAAATTGGCATTATAAATGTGAAATTAGAGGGACGTTGATATAAATGGTGGGGTTGGATATGTATTACCTTACATCTATGGGAATTTGAATGAATTATTTGTCTTGAGATTGGATATCTTTTTAGAAATATCTGTAATGGGCTATCAGTGGAGGATAACTGTAATTGTTGTAGAAATTGCATGAGGATTAGGTGAATTGAAACCATCTATTTTTTTTAATTTTTTTTTTGAATTCATTGAATATGACAGTGTTTCAATACATTGTATATGTATGATGTTTGGGCGGAGAAATGGGATGTACTCCATGACCTGTCCTTCAGATTTATCACGGGCGGCTTCTCAGTGTTCAGATTCATCACGGATGAGTTTCAGAGAGTTTCAGAAGTCAGACTCATTTTATAAATAATGAATCTACCCAACCCGCTTCGTACTCGTATCATATTTCACAAATCAACTGAGTTACGATTTGTGCGTTGCGGACGATTCTTATTACGGGCAACCAAACAACGACGACTGCGAGGTGAAATTACTCACAAAATTATTTACATATTTTGTTATAGGGAAATTATTTGAGAAATTCATTCTAATTTTTTTTTTCAGGTCAAATTTATCAAATTTATTGTCGAATTCGACGAGCAAACAGTGGCTCGTTCAATCAGTATACACATTCCATCACCGGCGATAATTATTCAACTCCCACTAATCTGGTAAATAAATCCTTCATCCTTCATCCTTCGTCTGTTATCTGTTATCTGAAAATGATTTCAAACGAGTCGATCAACTGTTTCAACTTTTTGTTCTTCAAAAATAGTGTAAATCATTCATCTGTTATGTATAAATGATTTTGGAGAAGTTGAAATCAGTTCGTAAATGGTTTATCAGAATTTGGTATGTCGTATTTTCCATTTCAGATCGGTTGTTATTTGAAATTATGAACGGTTTGAACCTTTCTTCTATCAAATGTATAAGCGGCAGTGCCTGGGACACCCGGCCGGTCGTCCCCCGGGTCATCCGGCCGGTCGACCGGCCGGTCAACCACCCAATCTTCCCACATCTCTTCCGGTTTTGTCTTCTGCTTTCCATTCCTGAATGGTTTGAACCACCGGCCTTCCCTGAACTGTTTGAACCCACCGGTTTTTTTTACTATTCTTTTTCCTTAATTTCAATTAACAACCAATACTGATTTGTTTTGAATTCAAATCAATATAACACAATGTTAAACACATTGTTAAACATTGAATGTTAACTGAATTTTTTTTGTAAAACATTGTTAATTGAATGTTAACATTGTGTTTTTTTTAATTCAGAATTTTTTTTTTACATTGTTAACAACCAATCCTAATTTTTGTTTTTTAACACATTGTTAATTCAAAAAAAAATTACTGATTTCTTTCCTACTATTTAAACACAATGTTAACTGAATTTTGAGGCTTTGAGAGCAAAAACACCCTTAGCGCTGGCACACATGGTTAAAACCAGGGAGAGCTACTGTTACATTACCATTTAGACATATATATGTCTATATTTATTTATTTATATGGTAAATAAGATTTATAGAAAATATAATAAAGTTTTTAATTTTTATAGCATTTAATTTTTTATTAATAATTTATCATTCATATGAATATGAATTAAAAAAAAAATAATGATGTTATCTTTTTTACATTAAAATATTTTTTATTTTGATCTTATTAAAAGATAAGTCAATATACTTATGTTAAAATTAATTATATTTTTTCATAATTTTTCAACAGATTAGAATATTTATGTATGGTTTTTAATTTTTTATTATTTTGAGTCATATTTTAATTTATAGAAATAAATAAATAAAATGTTCATACCATACTTTTTTTTTTGATCGAGTTCACCATACTTTACTCTCCTTTTCTTTCTATTGGCTGAAATTACATTTTGTAGAATAAAAAAAAAAAGGTTTAGCGAAAAAATTTTTATGCAAAACTTTTTTTGATAAAACAAAAAAATGTTTTTTCCATGACCAGTTGCTAGGGGTCGTTTGGGACACAGGAAAAACAGTTGGTTTTGGGTTTATAAAAGTCAAAAAAAAAATTATTTTTTATTTGTGGTTATATTTCAGCTATCTGAATGTTTTTTTTTTGGTGATTATATTTCTGCTATTTAAATTCAATTAATCTGCTACGTACTTTTTTCCTTGAAATAAAATCATCTGTTCTTTTTCCTTTATCTGTGTTTTCCTTCAAATCATTTTGCACTGTTATTGTTGTATATCCATCACAGTGTACTTTAAAATACCCTGTTCTGCTTGTATATTCATCCAAAACTAGTTTAAATATAATTTGTATATTTATAGATGGATGGAAATAATTCCGATGACAATGAGAACACCAAAATGTGGACGCCCAGAATTGAAATGAAATTAATAAATATGTTGAGAGATGAGGTTAGAAACAATCAAACAACGGACTGTATTACTTCGTGGACAATTAGGCATTGGAATCATTATGCAAATCAGTTGCACAACATATATGAATTTCGGTATACAGGTGTTAAGGTGCGCCAAAAATATCAGCGATTGAAAGCTGATTACCAGACATTTAAGCGACTCCAGGCACAGACTGGTCTGGGATGGGATCCTATTATAGGCACTGTTGTTGCACCCGATGAATTTTGGGATAAGGTTTTGTATTAATCTGTACTATTTTCTAATTTTATTTTAAACATTTCATGATATATACAATGCTTAATTCTTGTTTTGTACTTGTTGTAGGCTAGCAGAAATGTGAAGAAGTTTAGGACAAAAAGGTTTGAATATTTTCAAGAAATGGCAGAAATTGTTGAAAATTGTTGTGCTACAGGGCCCTGTCTCGTGCATCCACACAAGGACCCCTTGACTCAGAAGAAGAAGACGACATGTTAAATAAATTTTTGAACGCTGATGCTGGTGGGAGTAATGTTACTGAGACCATTCCTGTTGACTTATTCGGGGATGAGTATATGGATCCAGCAAAGGGCAAAAGTCACAAGAGGGACCCTGCAATTAGCTAGACTGACAGTGGTCGTTCCAAAAAGTCACAGTCAAGTGGGTTTGATGATGTGTGCGCAGCTTTCACATCCTATATACAAGCCAAAATAGGGACATTCACGTGCACGAGAAAATGAGACTGAGACTGTATGTGCAGGTGGTGATGATTATTCCCTTGATGCATGTCAAGATGCATTGCTTGAGCTTGGGGACATACCACCGTTGCAGTACGTTAGGGCACTGACACTGTTCAAGGATAAGGAATGGCGAAGGTTTTTCATGCGCACTCCTACCCATTTGCGCCAGTAACGCTGGTGGGAGTAATGTTACTGAGGCCATTCCTGTTGACTTATTCGGGGATGAGTATATGGATCCAGCAAAGGGCAAAAGTCACAATAGGGACCCTGCAATCAGCTAGACTGACAGTGGTCGTTCCAAAAAGTCACAGTCAAGTGGGTTTGATGATGTGTGCGCAACTTTCACATCCTATGTACAAGCCAAAACAGGACATTCATGTGCACGAGAAAATGAGACTGTGGCTGTAAGTACAGGTGGTGATGATTATTCCCTTGATGCATGTCAAGATGCATTGCTTGAGCTTGGGGACATACCACCGTTGCAGTACGTTAGGGCACTGACACTGTTCAAGGATAAAGAATGGCGGAGGTTTTTCATGCGCACTCCTACCCATTTGCGCCTAGCCATGATCCTCGCTTTGCAGTGAACTGAGACATTCTGTTTTGCTTGTGTTAGCAAATCTTCTTGGCTGAACTGTTTGATCATTTCATTATTCCTGATTTGGTTTTTATTCTTATTTTTTTCATTCCATCATATCTTCTTTCCTTTTCTATGTTCGTATGTTTTTTTTTTTTTTGAACTTTTAAGTGTTTTCTGTTATATTAAAACTATGGAAGTTATTATAATATGACCATGTGTTAAATAAATTTTGTTATCCTCTGAATTTTACTATTTCACCAATAACGCTAACTGTTACTGCATGAATAACATATTTTATAATTATGCTTTTACTGTGATGTAGACAAAGGCATATGTCATCCGACAGAGAAAACAATACAATGGAGCTCTCATCAGAGGAGGATGAGGTTGTTGATGATTTTATGGATTTCTTGATGATTGCTTTAATGCATGACCATATCAACGCGTCAAGTAGTCGCCGACCGCAGCGAACGTGTCCATTCAGAGGTGATGATTACATCTTCGGCCTATTAAATGGCCATCCAGAAACAATGATGAACGTTATGCGAATGGATGCATAAACATTCATTTTATTGAAAGACACTTTACTCCACAATGGCTTTATCGATACTGAACATATGCATATAAGTGTGGAGGAATTGCTTGGAATTTTTTTATATACTTTTGCACAAAATAATCGCCATTGAATAATGGCAGATAGATTTCAACACTCCATGGAAACAATTTGTCGGCACATAAAAATTGTTATGCGGGCATTGTGCAAGCTTTCATCATCGATTATCAAACCACATAACCTAGAGGACATACCGGGAAAAATTTTAAATGACAGGCAGTTTTTTCCCTGGTTCAAGGTACGAACAGTGTGACTGTCCTGTAAATTTGTTCATATCAATAAGGGTTAATAAATATTATTATTTTTTAATTATGAAAGTAAAATCAATCAGTTTGTTTCGCTTTTAATATCAAAGTCTGATATCTGTCAATTAGGATTGTGTCGGTGCTATCAATGGCACATTGGTGGATGCATGGGTCCCCGCTTTAAGACAAAATACATTCCGCGGTCGGAAAGCAACGGTATCGCAAAATGTACTCGCAGCTTGCGACTTCGATATGTTGTTCACATTTATTAATTCTAGATAGGAAGGTAGCGCTCACAACAACGCTATTCTGGTTGACTCTATTACACGAGCTGATCTACAGTTCCCACACCCATCCAATGGTGACTGTCCCTGAATAACATATGGTACACTTTTTTTCTTATCCGTTTTTATACATATCAATTGACAGAACTGTGTATTCATTATTTACATGTAGGCAAATACTATTTAGTTGATGCTAGTTTCACGAACATGCCTGGATTTCTTGCCCCATTTCGGTCTCAACGGTATCACTTGCAAGAGTTTCGTGGCGATCGTTATGCAGGACCTAAGGAATTGTTTAACCATGCATCCACCAATGGTTCGTTAAATTTTTATTCAGCTCGAGCTCGTTAAAGTCTTAATAAACAAGCCCAAACACACTAAAGCTCGGCTCGGCTCGGCTCGGCTCGTTTGCATGCAGCCTAAATATAACCCAGACCCCAAAAACAAAAATAAATAATAATAAATAAAATGGTTTTCTGATGGGGAGTAGGAACAACAACAACAACAACAACAACAATAATAATAATAATAATAATAATAAAGTTATGATTTTGTAATTAGTAATGCAAAATGCTTTTTTGCTCAATTTGGGCTTGGTTTAGTTTTAAAAATACAGTGGATTAGCGAAATAAAATGTCAGAAAAATACATGAAGATGGAATCATTCCATTATCTATTTTTTTTGCATTTTGTACATAACTTTGTACAAAATTATGTTTGTAGTATTATTTATTATGTATAAGGTGAGTATGAACTAGGGTAGACCAGGGTTTGAACCATACATCAAGATACCATGCGTTTGCCCAAACTTATCTTACTTTGATATTGGGCCTACTGTTATCATTCTAAGCTAACGTTAAATTTCAAGCCTCCCTTCCCTACTTGGCCTGTATTATATATGGGGTTTTAATAACAGAGTATATAAATTGAATGGCCATTTATTCAGCCCACAAAGAGAATTTGGGTTTTTATCGCGACCAAAACAATCCAAGCCTTTAACAAAATCCTATTGAAACTGAATTAGGCATGTTAGATTAAAAAACATGTTAAAAATATAAGTTTTGTCACACCACAATGTGTGAATCACTTAGATTGATAGGTTACTAATTAAAATAATTAGATAGAGTTGGTAATTGCTTCAAGCAATTCCAAAGTGAAATTTGGTATCAGGTTATACACCAATATCATAGTTGACTTTATACAATAGAATTAATGTATACAGAAAATTGGAGTAACCGACTATGTGGAAAAACAAATCTTACCATTTGAACTTATCCATAAAAGAGTCAAATAAATAATATCTAAATTAAGAGTGCTCTATGATACATTAGTCAAAACAAAATTTAAAATAATTATAAACTTTTATGACACATACTTTTTTGTTAATAAGTATTCTTAGTGCATTTTTTTTTTTTTTTTTCAAAACCTGTATGAAAATTTAAAATCAATATTTTTCATTTTTTTCTCAAATTTTTAAAATTTAGGTTCCAAATTTTTTTCTCATTTTTTCCACTAAAGACAAACTTTTTACAAAAACCAAAAAACCACATCCAAACAAAATATCACATCCAACCCCATAATCATTTCACTTTTTCTCTCACAAACATCACATCCAACCACATAAAAACCCAACTATCTTCCCAAACACCAAAAATTTTTTATCCAATAAAAATCTATAACTAAAAAAACCTACATAAAACCCACTTCCCAAACACCATCTATAACAGGGTGGGCCAAAATAAAATTCTCCATCCTAAGCCTATCAAAAAAAAGGCAGACTCAAAATTATAACTCTGGCCATTCCTATAGACCAAAATTTTAATTCCTAAATTAAAATTATAAAGTAAAGCTAGCCTAGATGTGGCACCGAATTTCTTATTGGGTTCATTGAAATGAAATAGCCACTTTTTGTTTTCTATTGAAACACCATTCATTTTCAATACATTTTTTAAAATATTTTTGTAGTAAAATAAACTTGAGAACGATCATTAATAAAATACTCATTCCATTCTAGTTCTAGCTTATTATAATAAATCAACATACATAATTCTGGACTGGAAGATGTTGTCTACCGTGGTTCTCATTTTTATGATTTGAATAATTCATTTTGTAAGGTCATTTTATGTATATTATCTATACAAAAATTAAGTCAATCAAATAATCGTAATATGTTTAATTTATCACGTCTTTTTACCAAAAAAAATAAATTGTATATTTCAAAACACATTTGTTTGTCTATTTTTTAGAGATAAATGTGATAAATGAACATACTAGGATATTAGATGGACTTAATTTTTTATGTAGATAATAATACAAAATTTTTTTTATAAAATAAACAATTTAAAACTATCAAAATAATAACTGGTGGGCTTTTTGGGTGACTGGTGGTGAAACCAACAAAAGAAACTCTATTTTTACATCGTTGGTACTTAGGCTCGTGAACGAAAACACCGAGGCTACTGTTTTAGTCAACTTATTTTATTCAAATTTTCATTTTTTTAATGATTTTTTTAATGTTTTGATCAACTTATTTTACTTTTAAAACACATCAAGATTATGTGCAACTAAATAGTAAGGCCAAGTT